TAGGAAAATACAAATAGGAAGTACTTTCTATTTCTTATATCGAATAAAAGTATATTTGTCTGCCTCTGGAATACTAAGAAGTCTGCACACAGTGTGGCTGTAGGGTGCTAGCTGGGAATAAAAAAAGAGAAAAGAAAAGAAGCCTGGAGATTTTCACAAAGCTCTGGAGCATTCCAAGCATATGGAAAAGTTTGGAGTAGCATTAGCAGTAGTGCCAAATTACCTCTTCTCACTGTAAAGGCTATCTTTTGACTGTGGCAACTGCAAGAGAATACATTTCTAAGATGTCAACTGCCATCTCTTTAATTTTGCAGGCCAGGGGGACAGTGCTACCTTGTTTCCCATGTATTATCATGCTTGAAATTCAGCCTACAGAGAGCAAAAGGGGAAACAGTGCAGCAGAAAGAAATAAAACTCCTTTGATTCTGAGTGGGGTGGGAGAGCCACATACTGGATATGGAGGGAAGAAGCACAGTTCTTCATTCTGCAGTACTACCAGCTGCATGTTTAATTCCCTGGAGTGCTCCTGCAGTGTCCATTCATTCAGATGTACTGAAAGCAAGCTGTAACTTAAGAGTATTTAACATATTTTACTCCAGGCTCAAAGTTGATTGTAGCCAATTATCAACATTTTACATATACTTCAATTTATGTTTGCATGTACTTAGTTTGTTCTCAGATAAAAAACCCAAACATTTTATCATAATGGCTACTCATTTCCTTAGGACTCTGTTGTTTTGGGTGTTTTTTTTTTTTTTTTTTTTTCCCCACAGCTTGTCCCAGAGCTGAATCTTTCCTAAACAACCCTTTCCAAATGAATGTCATCATTGTTATCATCGTCTTTTTCTTCTTCCTACTTTTCTTTTCTTCTGTCTTTTTTTTTTTTTTTTAAAGATATTGGCAGCTTTAGATGTTATCACAGAACAACCAAGCCTGGGACACTGTGGACAAGTGCTGGACAAGATTCTTTACATAGCTCTTCTCTGACAAGGCAACTCAACCCTTGACCTCTGGCACCTGTTGTTCTTTGGGCCCTGGATTTACTAGGGAGTTCCCTCCCTGCTCCCTGTAAGTCCACACTCCTTCTTGTTCTACTCCTGAGTCTTTATGCAGCTCCTGCAATTCCAGTCCTGGACTGAAGAGACCCTGAGCAGAATCTAAACTATGCACATTGAACACATTGTGTTGTTTGTGGGTTAGGTTTTGGCTTGGGTTTTGTTTGGTTGTTTGGGTTTTTTTTGTTTTTGTTTGGTTTGGTTTTTTTAGTTTTATTTGCTCTTTTCATAATGTTCTCTTAGAGATGCAAGCCAAGGTCAGTCCTGGGTTGCAACTCTACTCCTTCCCATTTTGTGGATGATGGAGACAGCTGAATGGCAGCAGCCAGGATGGAGTGTTTACTCTTCCTCCTTCCCTCCACAGTGGTGTAGACCATTGCATGATTCAGTATGATCTGCAGAAATTCAATGCAAAGGCCATGGTGTCCCACTCATACACTAAGCTTATTTGCTTGCACCCACTGTTAAAGTTGTGTGAAAAAAGTAAACACAAGCCTCTCTACTATAATCAGCATAACTGCTTTGGATTTTTGCACTGGCATAGGATACCTGTGATATTATTTCTTTATTTTTTTTTTTTTTTTTTTTTTAATAAGAATAACAACACTTGTTTGCTAGCGTGGAATGGAATAAAAATTTTCTTAAGACCATTGCAGATACAAATCCACAAATCCAAAGACCATGTTATCTGTTGTGCTCCCCAGCTGATCAGTGTCCTGGACACAATAATCTCTCTTTCACGTTCCATGTAAAGAAGTCTTCATGTAATGCCATCTGTTCTTGCACTGGCAGGTTTCCTTCCTACCATAACATGTGGCAATTAACATTTATCTTGGTGTTGAACATTTGACAAGAAATCAAAGGGGTCCCCAGACTCTTAGAGCTAGGAGCTCTGGAGGCCCTTTCTATAACCACTTGAAAGCTATTTGCTTTTAGGGTTTGAGCCACGCAAATCCGTGAACCATGATTCTCTTTGTACTTCAGAACTTAAACTGATGTTGATCCTATATTTTGCAACTAGACAGCTAAAAGGAGAACCAGATTGCAGCATTCAGTAGTGAAGGTTACTGTGTTATCCCCAGGATCCTCCCTCTTGCAAGATGTGGAAAGCAACTGTGTCGAGGCGATACATCTTGTACACTAGTATTGCAACCAGCTCTCAGAAACACAATGCCTGTATAGAACTTTACTGACAACAGCAAGTGCAGCATAGGGCCTTCCCTGCCGGCAGTCACATTTGGAAATACACTTAGTGATATTATTTTTAACTCTTCCTGAAAGCTACAGAAACACTGATTTCCTATGTGAGCTGAAGGAAGCTGACCTCCCAAGAGTTTTGTGCTGTAGATGCATGAACTGTATCTACTCAGATATGGGGGGGATTTCTTAAAATGTTTTGCTTCAGTTTAAACTCATATGATTGTTCTCCCTTAGTATTACTTTAAAAATAAAACATAGAAGGTATATTTCCATTGCTACGAGCAAGTTTATGTTCACTGTCTTTTCACAGACAAAATAAAATCTCCTCCCTTCATGAAACCTCTCAGATACTCAAACCAGTCCTGTCTGTAGAATGCTTATATGATTTTCCCAAAATAAATTTTCTCCCTGTCTCAGTTCTTTGTTCAGAGTCTGTTTTCTTTACCTCATTTTCAGATCTAATTTTCCCTGAGTTTCTATTGCATTATGTTCTCTCTGCCCTCTCTCCCAGTCTCCAAGAGAAATGCAAACCTAATTAAAGACACATGGAATTTTTAGGCTATGTTAGTTAGAGACAGTTAGAAATTAGAAAGGAAATAGGTTTGCATGAATCCATGGGAGGTTGTTTCCAGGCTTCTTTTTTGGAAGAGATGCCACAAATTTACTCCCAGTTTACATGAAGGAGATGCAAGGATTATATCTCACAGTGAGTATCATTAAGCATGTAAATAAGGTGCATGGGAGTACACAAATAGGTATCTTTAATGTATGCACAATTTTTCTCTTACAGCTTGTGTTTTGAGTGTGAAAACAGGCATGGCGGTTAGAGGTTTGTCCAGCAAGGCAGTCTCTGTCACGTGACTAGATGCAAGACCACTCTACGACCTGATCAGCAGCTGTGCCTCTCAGGTCACTGTGTCCATGGTTGTCCATAGGGTCAGGGCATGATGATGCAACATGCGTTCTGTTTTCCCTCATATTGTTGCTAATCTGGAAACAGGAACAGTACTGTGTTTATATGATATGTAGCTTTGTTGTAACAGAGACGGGTCAATTCTAGCAGAAGAAAAGCTCAGTCACACAGAAAAGAGGAAGTAACAGCAGCAGCAGATAACCAGTTACTTTGTGTACCGCACATCATCACCCTGAAGTTTCTCATTAGCCTGACACCAATTTTGGTCCTTCTTTCTCGATTTGAGGTGTTAGAGCAGAATCGTTTTACAGAAACAACACAAAGATACACAGAGTCAGGCCACATGTGTCATCTAGCACACTACCACAGCTCTGAAGTGGTCAAGAGTAGATGTCTATGAAAGAGTACAAAAGCAAGGCAAGAATAAAATAATTCCCGAAGTACACATGTCCAGTTAAACCTCTAAAGCTGAGGATCTTCTTGAGGCAGAAATAGTGTCTCTGTGTTTCATAGACCCTGATGGGATTATCTACTGTGAATTTGTTCAAGAAGCTTTTGAACATTTTGGACTTTGTTGCACATATACTTTTGGAATCAATAACATCTTTTTATGATAATATAGTGAAAATGTATCTCTACTAAAGTCGTAAGCACTTAACATTCAGAAGCCCTTATTTTGTCACTTACAGCTATGGATAGCACATAGTATTTATTTTAATCTCCAACTAAAGTCTGAGCAGTTTAAGTGTTTATTGCAAGGAAGAGCCTTTTACCTCTTTGCAGACTGATTTTTGGACTCCATGATCATGTACAAGGATGGAAGGTGAAAAGCTGAACCGAATCAGGCATTAGGGTTTAAGCCTTTTGAGCAGTAAAATGCAGCTTTCAAACAACAGCCAAAGCAATGTCTTCTTACAGAATAAAGTACAAAATTTCTGTAGTTAGAACAACTTTATCAAAGTTGCAACATTTCCTATTTTGGACAGCTCTGAAAGCTCATGGTGTAATTTAGTAGCACTCCTGTTAAGTCTTTCACTGATGGCACATTAGCTGAATCACTATGACTCAACTTTAACATTACAATCCTAATTTGAGAGACTTGTGACTTGAAATTTAGGAGTCCTCATTACAACTTGGACATGGTATCTTTATTTTGGCAGCAGTGGTAGAGGAAAGGAAGGCATGAAGACACACAAGAAGTTGTTTAGAATCTCCAGAGAGAAATGATGCTTTTGCCTAGGACATATAAATAATATACTCTCATATATACCACCACAATATACCACCCTAAAGGAACTCAAATTCAGTTATTGTTCAGACAGCAGAGTCAGTTTCAGAAGTTTGAAATACAGTGCAATCAAATCTCTTTTGCCGGTAGAACATAGGATACTTTGTTTAGGCAGTCTGAAAAGAAAAATAGAATCTTTTACCTCCGTCTTGACCTTAACAGAGTCTCCCAGGACAAGCACCCTATCTCTTTCACAGATATTCTTGCCTGAGATGTGCTTTTAGAAAAACAACTCTTTCACAATGAGTAAGGGAAAATAGCCTACAAATTATTTTCTTTCATAAAAAGCCCACCTCCATAAGAGGGCTTTTCTAATGGCCTTCTCAATTTATATGAACCTGGCTTCATTTGCCTTGATTGTTTCTAAAAGCCATATTTATCCTCACGATAACAATAACTCCTACACATTGTCTATTATGCAGCCAATAAAGGTACCACTTACAAAGTATCCTGTAAACAGTGACTCACTAGAAACGTGAACCACTTTGCAGCCTTTTACTCTGTCAGACTTGCCCCAGCTCATCTGGCTCTGTACTCCTTTGGCCTGTAGGCCACTATTTCCCTGTGTGCCTGGATGACATGCAGCTACTGCTACTTATGGAAGTCAGAAGTGTCGAAAATCTGCAACAGATAAATACAAGTGAATCTATCACCTAGTAGTTAGAATCTATTTATCCTCTACTTTCTTGGGGCTTTTTCAAAAGGTCCTCCCTGTGTTAAATGTATATCAAAAGTTCTTGTTAAGCCTTTGAATAAGGATTTACAGAATGTGGGGTCTAAATATTGGTAAATTTAGTTCTCTTGAGAAAGACTGTTCTGGCAGAATTTCACCAGACCTGGTAGTAAGCCCCACTAATCTCATAAGAATTCTTATGAGTCTTCCTGATAAATCTGAAAACAGATTGGCATTGCCAGAGTATGGATACATGTTTGGATCTGAGGTAAGTGCACTATTACATACTGAAAAACAGAATTGAAAAAATAGCTGCACTTCTGTTGTTCAGGTGCTAGACAGTTAACATTCTACAATGCTTCTTGCTGCTATCATAGTATTTGTGTTTCATTTCTTTATTCTGACTAAAGCATTACAGCAGTTACCTTTCTGAACAAATTCTAAGAGCTCATGTACCCCCAACTATTTTGTCCCTTACTGTGTGGAGGATGGCTTCCCAAGCTACTACGGCTGCCTCTCTTCTCCCATATTTGGAAGTTGGCCTGCAGTACGGAGATCCCTTGCGAGTTTCTGTTTAAATTCCAGAGCCAGTGTTGCACTTTACCATTTCCTTCAGCTGATGTAAGTCAAATACAGTATGAGTGAAAAATGTGAGTACAGGCTTGGCTAACTGCTTTGCAAGGAAAGTTGTAATGAATGCAGAAAGTTTGTCTCAGGAGAAAATGTTTCACAAGTGCAGCATGCTTTGCGCAGTGTGACATTGCTGAGGCTATTGACTCTCACTCAGCAGCAGTTTGCACACATTTTACCACTGTGTATCACATTTAACTGGCAATGCTGACACAGTATGCAACAGTAAAGAATGACACACTCGCATGGAAAATATTGTTGCCTGGTATCGGGAGGCATTTTTCTATACACAGAGCCCAAAACCTAAACGTCTATTTCATTTCACCCCTGAAATTTTAGGTGCATCTGCAGCAAGCTTAGTAGCAATTTTTGCTTCTCACCTTGCAGCAGCTCCAAGACAGCAGAACCCAAATATCTGCTACTTTTTAAAAATGTTAAATTATTTATTATTCAAATGTTACTTTTTAGTCAGTGGACTGCATGCATAATATCATATGGAACATAATACCTGACATAGGAATTATGCTAAAATATTTTAAGATAACTAATAGTTTATAGCCAAGCTCCTTTACGACAGGATTTAAGAACCTCTCATTCCTATCTCTGAATATTCACATGGGTAATCTCACCTGTGTAACTGGGCAAAAATCCAGTCCACTGAGATTTGAACCCCACAGGAAAGTAAGGCAGAGCACAGAGATCTTCTCTATGTGTAAGAGATTCACAATTCTTAATAGCTATGAATCTAACTATAGAGGAGACTAAGATTATAATGTTTTCAGTACACTTTAAGAATATTCTAAAACAAATCTTTTGGACATAAGTCATGGGGACAGTTTTTTCAAGCGCAGGAGCATTACATGGATCAATGTAATTCTGGATTCTTCCCTTTGCAACAGGATAAAACTCTTACTACGGTCCTAATGATCTTTAAACCTATGAGTGGCACAGTGTTGAATACACACAGTCCTTTCTGTGACACCACTGCATTTTGATGAAGAACAAAATGTATACATTCACAGAGCACTCTTACAATCTGTCCTACAGAATTTTCTGCAAGTACAAGGTCCAATTATGTGAAAATAACTGTAGGTTCAGGATCTCAGGGCAGGAAGAAGGGAGTATTTTTGTATTAGGTTAATTTTCTTTCTTATTGTAATTACTTGAAGCTCCTCTGAGGTCTGGGACACTAGAAGAGTTTTAGTCAAGATGAATTAATGAATGTGGCACAGATGAGAAACTCAGAAGTATGTCAATGTGATTTATTCTGTGGATTGAGATCTCCACTGTATACAAAAGGAGTTTATACATATATACAGAAATTTGGCACTATCTAGCAATTCTTTTTTAAGTATTGCCTAATTTGGCCATTTAGTACTTGCTGATGGTAGTAAACTCCTATATCTACAAATACAAAGCTACAAATCTTTAGTATGTATGCTAAGATAATTATTTAAGACATAATCTATAAAAGAGTTAAAGATCTTCACAATTACCCAGTAAAAAAGCAATTACATACGTGCATATATTCAAAGAAGTCATTATTACTAAATATAGTATTATTTAATTTTAGACAGTGGCTTTACCAGAAGTCTTGTCCAGTTCAAGGTTTTGGCTTTGTGGTGAATTGGAATGTACACAAAATTGCAGAAACCCCTGAGCCTGTTCATTCTGCAGTAGGGATATAAATAATTTATGAGACTCCAAACCGGCAAAACACTTAAAATTTCAGACTAATATTATACTTACCAATGCACACATGCTTTAATACTTTGGTAAATCAAATCCAATATGAGGAACTACTAGGAAAGGAGTTGATACATACAAGCATCTAATATTACAGGAGGGAAAAAAAGCCTGCAGAGCTGCAACAGGCACCGAGAAACATGTAGCCAAAAAAATGCTAGTATTGCATATGTAATCTTTTAGGCTGATTGGACACAGGGGTCCTTGAAATTGAACTATACATAATTATATCAAAAAATACTTATTCAAGAACTATCAAGATGTGCTCTTGCAAGGCAGAGAAAGAAATTTGAGAACTACTATAGGCATCTCAGCTGAGGTATCTCCATTTCAGTGCAAAGTAAAACAGGGAAGCTTAAACTGATCAACAAGAGTGGTTTAAACCAACTTTTCACTTCTTAAAGAAATGCACAAAGGGCATACAAGAAGTCAGTTACCACTTCTCAGCCAGCAAATACAGCAGCTCTGTAAACTGCTTTAAGACAAGAGTCTTACTACTCCCAAGAAGCATGTACTTGAAAAAGAATCATGGTGTATCAAAGGCCATTTAAAGCTGAATGACAACATTCAAATGAGGTTTAATATTCTTACAAGACATTTAACATCCTCAGTTTATTTGCTTCAATTTCCCTGTGTCCATGTGTAGACATGACCATAAATATTAACCAAAATCTCTAGTGGTAAAATGAATGTTTAGATTGTTAAAATGGTCACCTACTGCGAATAAAGCACTTAAATTGTTTACCGGATAGACAATTGTATTGACAAGCTTTGAGCCGGCATGCCTATACTCAGAGCACAAGTATACACCTCTTATTGACTAAAAATGTTTTTTGAAAAAATACTGCCATAACAAATGTGATACTTGGTGGGATATATAGGAATAGTTTTTTCAGGTTTTTTTCCTTGTAGTGGTACTCATCTATCCAATCACAGAGTCAGGCTCCTGAAAACTACTTGTTGCTTTTTGAAAAACCAAAGTCTATCGTAGGTTCACAGTAATTTTGTCACAAGAGTAGAAAGACTTCTGGTTTGCATTTAGTGTGAATAGACTGTGTAATTTTAACTACACATTCACTATCACACATGCTTTCCACATACATGAGAATATATTCTTGTCTGGTGGAATTTTTCAGAAGAAAGGTAGGAAAATGTGGTTTTTTGAACCTCATTCCTAAGTAGCAATTTCTAGAATAAGCATTAATATATATATACACAAATATATACTTAATACGCTCATCCTTATTTTCTACATGTTGTATGTTCTTAAAAACATTCTTATGTTATTACAATTGTTGAGATAGTCCATAACAAACCACTTAAGAATGCAGTGTAGTTAATAAAATGTTTTGGGATCAAAGCACAGTAACTAAGAAGATATAAAAATAAACTACATTTGCACTCTTTGTTTCCCAGTAGATGCTACACAGATGTATAGAGCCTCTAGCAAGAAACTCCTTAAATGAGATAGTGAATTGGTAGCAGCATTCTCCGCAAATCTAAGCCCCACTGTTTTAACAAACTACAGAAGGGCAGCTAGGAACCAAGCAGCCTTGTATGATGAAATAAAGGTCATTTTTCAAGAGATGGCTGACAATTGTGATTTACATTTTCCAATCCTAATAGGCTGCTCCCATCTAGCTCAGATAGTGACTGATGATGAGTCAGTGGAGAAAAATGCTTAAATGTTGGTCTTGTTGCAGTTCCTAGAACCCAGAACTAAACAGAACCTAACCTAATTTCATGACAGAAGTCATATGTATAACGTCATAGCACACTGACAGACTATTAAGGTGAAGTTAGACTGTCATACCTCCTTAGTAATCTGTTCTTTCTTTCCCCTAAGTTGTATTTTCTTCAGTGTGAAATGCATTCTTTCTGTGCCAGTCACCTACATGCTAGAGCTGTCAATATAGTAACACCGTTCTATAAAAAACCCATGACAAATAAAATTTATGTTTAAGGCAGACATTACCACAGAGAGAATTTTTTTTTTTTTAAACTTCAATCATCCATTGCTTACTCCTTACATTACACAAAGGGCTTGATAAGAACTGCAGAATGCATTGACCTTACAGTCTATGCCCACTGATCAGCCTCCAATCCTCCCAAAACTTATAGAGACACCCTACTCCTTAAATTTCAACATATGCTTAAATTTTCATAACATCAAGACAGCAATGAAATCCAGTTTATGGAATATATGATTACAGTGTTTCTGTAAACTTCCTCAGGTAGCTATTCAGGTGTTACTCAGAAAAGTTAGAAGTTGGTGCAGACAAGGAACAGCAGATTATTCCAGGGAAAAGTGATTCATGATAGCCAAGTGCATTTGCCTAGAAAACCTAATCCTTCTCTGCCTAATACTAAAATAACTAATGTAAAATGTAGGTTAGTGCTTAGAGCCAACACATGCACTTCAGTGAAGTATTAATATTAGCAAAGCACCTTATAATTACATAAAACTGTAAGTTCATGAAGCTCTTTGAAAATAGTTCTGTTCTGCTGCTGCTGCTGCCACTTGCAGTTGCAGTGCCATGCACCCTAACTGCAAGATACAGAACTCTTGGAACGATACTGTGGAAGAGGCTGCATTGCAACTACATTGGTTTGTAAGTGTTCTCTCTTTTTCTACGAAAGTCTATCACTTCTGTATCCATATATGTCACCTCAGTGGAAGTAGAAATAAGATTTCTTTGCTTCATTAAAAGACTTAATTATGTGTGAGAAAAGGAGAATTTGTTATCCGATTATGTGGGACAGAGAGACATTACAGTCTTGAAATCAATGGATATTTTTGTAACCAGAAGAGTGCTGACATCCCCGTTCTCTGCAGAAATGGGTTTAACTGGACTCACCTGAGTTTTCATGAAATAGTGAAAGACAATTAAAGAGTGTTTTAAAAGCTCATCCTTTCATTCTAACTACTTTAACTTACTTGAGATGCTAGTCAACACTGTCATGCTAATAATAGATACTACTTCTTAACAGTACTAAGATTTTGAGTGTGTGGAAAGTAAAGGAGGTTCAGCATCTTTTTTTCTCAGTGGGTAATCCACTGTTGCATGTGGAATACCATGCTGGAAGAGGACAAAAGAATTAATACATTTCCACCTTGGGTTCAATAAACGGAAAATATTGTGAGCAAATCCATTTCTACTTTCTAACAATATTAAAATCTGGAGATTTAATGAAGCTGTATAAACTGGAGAAGCAGTAGTAGCATAATTAATGTATAATAACAGACTAAATAGTGCAAAGGGCAAAAAACCTGATTTTTTTTTAAAAAAGTACGTGTTGCAAAGCTGTTATTCACATGACATCAATGTGACAGATCTGAATACTGCAAAGGAAAGAGAAAACACTGTAAAAGTACTACTTAAAAAGAAAAAATACAGCTACATGTATTGCTGTAAATTGTCTGGAATTTTTCCATATGTGGCTTCAAAAATTAGATAGCCACAGCAGGCAGAAAATTTCAGTTGATGGGCCTACAGTACAGTCACATAATACTGACAATAAAAATTCATTTTTGCATGGGCAAAAATTACACCAATATAACCCAAATAGTGAAACAAACTCTTAATACCAACACACCCCCAAATACAAATACACATATTTTTGTCCTGTAGACAAGTGAATTTTCAGAAGGGTACCAAAAATGTCCATCTGTTCCATATTTTATTTTGCTGTAGTAACTGTAGCTATTAGAACCAGCAAGACAGCCTTTTACAATGGCCAGATAATATATTTTTTTTCTTTAAAACATATGCATGCACATGCATGTTTCAGCCAGAACTCAGTATACAAGATCTCAGACTTAAGAGTAATTTTTTTTTTTTAATCAGAGAGATTATGTGCAAGTCCCACAAATTACTAAATATGTGGTTTATTAGGTTTGCATACTTCTAAAAAATAGAATTTAGCAGATTATTAGTTCATAACATGGACTAATTGCTTTTTGTAATTCCCAGATGCTGCATATTACTATCCAGAAGGATTTTCACATGTGCTCCTTGTTACTGATCCATAGTATCCTAAAGAAGCACTGCTGGGAATGCATATACTAGAAATGATATGTACATGCTATATAGCCAATAGTTAACAGCATAAAATACTCTTATGAAGCATGGTGGATGTTTTAAGTATGTTTTGAATGCCAATAACATAATGCCTACAGGTATACCTCTTTCCAAACAAAACTGGATTGCGCAACATGGAAATTAGTCATCTGACTTCTACCGTTACAGATTCAATAAATACAGACACCTAAACACAATTCCCAGCATACTAAAACAGAACAGCAAAAAATGAAATTCAGAGTTAAAGGTGTTACTAAGATTTCTAACCCTGCACAATACCTGTTTTTCTCAGCTCTTTAGGCCTACAACTTGTAACTATGCCTGTAGCTCCAACAGTGCCAACTCTGGTACTGGAAGTTATAAAGACAGACCCTTGTGCACGCCAGAAGCCTTACTGTTTGAATTGCTCTTTCTATACATCCCTGTCTCTGCGGGTACGACCAGCTGTGTTCAAACACTGCACAGAAAGCATGCTGTTTGCTCGGAAGCATTTAGGAGTGAAAGCTAGTCTGACAGGAATATTGATATTTCTTTAAAATAGGAGCTCCAGGACAAAGAGAAAAAAACACCTAAAAGGCAGCAATAATTTTCCAAATCCGCGCTTACGTCATCAAGGAAAGAGGAAAAAGTACAGACTGCAAGCCCGCAACCCCTCACTCATATGCTTGATTTTATTACGACGAGTACTCCCCGTGTCACAGGAGACACTGCACGGGCAGCGGCGGCGAGCGGGCAACGCAGCCCTCCGTTCCGGGCTCGCAGCGCGAGTTTTGCTGAGCCTGGCAGAGGTACTTGCAGGCCCCGGGAGAGCGCTGCCGGAGGTGACACCGCTGCCGGAGCGGGCCGCCGGGGCAGACAGCTGCCCTCCCGGCCGAGCCGCCGCCGGGCTCCAGCGTCAGCGCTACGGGAAAGCGGGAACGTAGGTCACTCTCCGGCTACGGTCTGTATTCCTTCCCCCCAAGCCACGTCGCTCACCAAAATGTATTTGAACAAGCGCCCGTGCCGCTGGCACCACCAGAGATTAAAACGGTGAAACCCGCCAGCCGCGATTCGCTCCCGCCCACCCCGCAGGGCCACCGCCGCCCGGCCCTGACCCCAGG